CTGATAAAACACCAATTGCTCAAATTGAGGCCTGAGTATACTGAAGTCAACATGTAAAGTCCAAGTTGTGGCCCAAGTACCCCAAGTACCCCAAGTATATAGACTTGGGTCAAGTCCGTGTACTTGGGACCAAGTACACAGACTTGGGGCCAAGTACACGGACTTGAGTCCAAGTACACGGACTTGAGGCCAAGTACACGGACTTGAGGCCAAGTACACGGACTTGAGTCCAAGTACATGAACTTGGGCCCAAGTATGGGTCCAAGTCCGTGACGTTTTCCTGATGTAGGTCATTTAAATTCAAGGACAGGGATGAGTATGCAATAGTCTCATCAGCCCTTATTGTACCTCCTCGCGGCCACGATGCGTTTGGCCTATCCCAGAGCCATGGCCTGCCGTCAGACGCACACTCGGACATGCCGGAGATCTCACGTGCTAACTTTTGACCGGCGGTCATGACCGGGTCACACAGTGACCGGTCATCCGTCGTCTAAAAGTCATGACCGTTGACTTGACCGGTAACAACGCTGCGCAGGCGGACTGCGCTGGGCGCGGAGGCGCCGTGACCCGTGGCTGTTGCTCCTTTGATGGGTCAATACAAGCTTCATACACCAGCCGTTCTGGTCTACCTGCATACCACTCTCACATGGTTGCTTTGAGCACTTGAGTCGTGCCCTTCCCTTGGTTACGCGGAAATCATCGGCATCCCCAAGCCCGAGTTATCGGAGACTTTTCAAAGAAAATAGCCGACGTTCACGAAACAGGGTCGGCGATGCGCTGCCATCTCTACACTCTACGACTGCGGGTTAGGTGGCCCAGGGACCGCTTCCTGGAACGCCACATTAGCCCGCCTTCCATGTGGAGAAAGTTATCTGTATTGCCGAGAACGCATGACTGCATAAAGCCCTAGGTATTCGGGAGTGCTTCCCCCAATAGACGTCCCCTTCCCTCCACGACACCCGACAACGCTCGCGATCACGGTGTGTTGAACTTGGACTTATCCGGTCTGGACTACACGAGGCTATGCGTCTCCTAGCGCTTAGCTGGAGTCGCTTATGTAGTATGTTACCATATTTGGGACTCTCTGCTCGTGTACTATAGCTATGCTTCCGGACTCTTCTGGTACTGTCTAGGACAATCCGTACTACTCCAGAACGGTCTAGACAGGTCTATGCCTTACTCATCTCTTACTCATCCTATGGTGCGATACGTCGCAATTCTTTCACCATTGTATTATTCATCGCACTATGGTACATGTGACTAACCACTCTTCGATTAGTCATGGACACTTCTCTGTAGTATATAAGGACTTCAGATTGCGTCCTCAC